GAAAAAAGGTAAAAAAGAGGAAAAACAGGAAAAAGAGAAAAAAGGTAAAAAAGGGCAAAAAAAAAGTTAAAAAGAGCAAAAAGCAGCAAAAAAGAGCAAAAAAGGTAAAAAATAGCATTAAAAGGTAAAAAACGGCAAAAAAAGTAAAAAAGAGCAAAAACCAGTAAAAGACAGCAAAAATGGTAAAAAACAGCAAAAAAAGTGAAAAAAGGCAAAAAAAATCAGAAAAATTCACCAAAAAACAGGAAAAAATATCGCTAAAAAGCAGCAAAAAAAATTCACCAAAAATGGCCAAAAAACCCTGAAATATCAGCAAAAAAAAAGTTTAAAATCAGTAAAAAGCAACAAAAAAGGCCCAAAAAAACCCCACCAAAAAACCCCGAAATCCACAAAAATAAAGAATCACCAAAAAGCAGCAAAACCACCAAAGAATCACCAAAACCCCCCAAAATTTTAAAGTATCACTAAAAAAAGTGCAAAAAAGAGCAGAAAGCTGCAAAAAGTCTCAAAATCCAGCAAAAATCACCTAAAAACAAGAAAAAACACCAGAGACAGCCCCCAAAAAACACAAAAAACCCCCAAAATCACCAAATAAAGATAAAAATCAAAAACCACAAAAAAAACCCAAAAATCACCAAAACCCAGCAAAAAAAATCCAAAGAATCTCAAAAAAACACCAAGAAATCACCAAAAACAAAAAAAAAATTACTCGAAAATCACAAAATCCTCCCAAAATCAGCAAAAATCGCCCAAAAAACCCCCAAAATTCCCCAAAAAAACCCCAAAAAATCCTCCCAGAACAAATCTCGGTCGCCATTTTGGATCTCATTTGCATAACGGCCGCCATCTTGTCCAGCTCAGCCAATGGCGGCCTTGCATTTCCGCTACGTCATGGCGGCCATTTTGGCCCCCATGTCCGGCGGCCATCTTGTTGTCGTTTCACCCAACCAGCGTCCGCCATCTTGGTGTGCTGGCGGCCATCTTGTTTGCCGCTCCTACATCCGGTGGCGGCCATCTTGAACCCGAACGTTGCTCAGCACCGTCCCCGTGGCGGCCGCCATCTTGTTTCTTATCGCCACACTCACGGCCGCCATCTTGGCCAGCGGCACGGCCGCCATCTTGGCCTGCCGCGAGATTTTCTCCAAATACCCCCCCCCAAAAAAAAAAATCTCAAACCCACCCGAATTCCACAAAACTCACCCAAAATTCACCAAAATTTTCCCAATACCCGCCAGATTTCCCCAAAAGCTCCCCAAAATTTCTCCAGAACTCACCAAATTTCCTCAAAACCCACCAAATTTACCCAAATCCCACCCAATTGCCGCAAAATTCACCGAATTCCCCCAAAACCCACCGAATTTCCCCAATATTC